CATCCCCAAGATCATGGCGTAAATTCCGGAATATATTTGTAATAATTAGTACAAATTCGTACCAGGCGGTTATACAACTGTCCCAATAAGATTCTTTACTGTAAATGGAAATGTACCTTATTTAGGGCTCCCCTCCTATATAAAGGGGACCCCAATCATTTGTAAACATCATCTAATCATTGGCAAAGAATATACTATCTTACTTTTTCGCTCATTATTCATCAGAATTGTCTTTTATCTTTATTGCCCTTACTTTATTGTTCTTGGTTCATCTCGAGGTCACTGAGCTCGAGGTCGATACTGGTCAAGTAACATTGGTTTGATTCACTTATTTCCTTCATCTATACTTTATATTTCTTGATTATTAATTGGTATTGAACTAAATCACGTATCTTTAAAATCACAAATCAAATTTAATCGTTACTCGTATTTTTGAGGTAAACACAGTACTCTACAGTTGGCTAGTAGCTAGTACGGGTGTACATAGACCGGGTTGGTTCGGATTTTACACTTACCAAACCAAACCAATTGTGTCGGGTTATTAAATCTAAAGACCAAACCAAACCAATAAAACTCGGATTTTTCACTCTCTATTTTTCTCAGGTTTTCTCGAATTTTCGAGTTATTCGGATTTTTTCGGTTTTTTTTTTCCCGGTAAAATCTTCGTAGAACAAAACATGCAAATTGTGCTCAAAATATTTCTTTAATCCGAGTAAGATACAACTATATAAAGTATTTTCCAAGAAAATAATACAAAATATGAGATGTGTCGTGGCATTATCCTAAAATATTCAACAATAAAGACAATAAAATTATGTAATATAAATATTTCTAATTAAAAAGCCATAATAAAAATAAACATAATCTAAAAGTACTAAGTCATGCTAAAATAAGTAGACTAATAAGGGAGTATTAATTACATGACTAAACGCTAAAGAAAAATAAAAATAGGTTATGCATTTTTATCTAAATTATTGCAAAAAAAAAAAAAGATATTCAATACATTCCCGTTCGTAGTATTGAATTGAATGTCTTTTGTTAGCATGAGTATTGATTTGATTTTGATTTGAGCTTTTGTTAGCATTATTTAATTTACTAATGTTAATGGCTATAAAACTTATTGGAACATTTAAAAGTTCTAAGTCCAACCTTGAAATAATACCTTAAACAATAAAATTATGAAAATTTTTAAGAAATATTTATAAATTACATCACAATAAGTATATTTATATATTAAATATATTTAAAATTTCTATATATGTAATGTCGAGTTGGTTTGGTTTCGGTTTGACTTTCTTTAGTTAAAATCAAACCAAACCAATTATGGCCGGTTTTGTTTTTTCCAACACCAAACCAAATCAAACCAAACCATAATCGGATTTTTTTTCTCGGTTTAACTCAGATTATTTGGTTGGTGCGGTTTGTCAGTTTCCTTGTACGTCCCTGGTAGCTAGGCAACTTGAAGCTGACATGAGAATTCACATGCATGCTTAGATCAACTGAACTGAATCCAGGTTGTGGATTGTTGTACGTGTAAATTAATTAACTCACACCACGTAGCATAGAGCAGTGATTGATCCGATTATGGGGTCACATGTTCGACAAACTCAACGCTTTTGAATTAGATCCGGAGACGAACTCAGGATTCGAAAATCGCGGGGTACTATAATATTTAATATAAATTTATTACTGTTCGCAAAGATTGGTACGAGAACTTATGCTAATATCTGATTAGTTTTGAAGACATTTACAAGTATATATAGAGTTTTTATCGAAGTTTTTGGGTGCCCGTGACCCCTCAAAGTGTAGGTCCGCCTCTGATTAAATCCTATCTATATGTGCAAAATATTAGTATAAATAGAATCAAATATATATATTTTTAAATTCACTCTCAACTCAAAAGTCACATGATGTAATTTTAAGATTTACCATTGACAAGCATTTGGACATGAATTGGTTGATAATTAAAAGAGAATAGAATTTGAAGTTTAAGTCGAGGATATTATGGAGAAAAGCTTCCCTTCTATTTATGATATTGCACATGCATACAAATACGGACGATCGAATGCATTGAATATGCAGAAGGTGGTTGTGTGTACATATATCCTCACATCACGTAGCATATAATGTACATTAATTGTTGATAAGGAGAGAAGCTTCCCTCGTTCGACTTCAATGGGCTGAGGACCAACAAGGACTACAGTCTACACATAGCTAAATGATTTCTAATATGTAGATATGATGAGGAGAACCTATTTATCAATTAGTAGTACTATTTCGATAGAAACTTCCAATCAATGTTTTAAAATGTGTGGGTAAGAGGCAAAGCATTTTATCTAATACGTAGTGAAGCGTAATGAGCTTTTAATTTTTAATGTTATATATATAGATATATATCAATTATAAATATGCTAATATGTACAGACCATGTAAATATTTTTTTTACTTGAAAAAGTAAAAGACGTAAAGATACTAGTTCCTGATAATTCAAAAAATAAAAATGATAATAATATAAAATTATTTTGTTAAAATCTAAAAATTGGAAAACAAATCACAAATGCTGATTGTATAATACAAATAGCCTAGAGTCTTCAAAAAAAATATCTAAACAGAGCAATACCAAAAGAAATTCTAAAACTAAAAATTAACTTAGAAAAGAATAAAACGAAAGACATGAAAAAAATGAAGCATAAAGAAGGGAAATGCAAGAACTTTTGAGATTTTTAGTTTGATAATTTATTATGAGTTAACTTTTGGATATTTAAATTTTTAAAAAATATTATTAAGCAATTCTGATTCAAATTTGTAAAAGTTCTCGAGACTTACACCCGAAATGAATGCCTAGAACGTTGGGACTTACGCTTAGGTGAACGCCCGGAATGTTGGAGCTCGCCCCTCGCCAGTACCTTCGCCCTAGAGCTTGCACAGAAAACGCTTTTTAAAATACTGCCAGGGCCGACTCCAACCTTATGTGGAGTAAGGTTTGTGTCTTAGGCCCCATTTTTAAAGAATAATAGGTTCATAGATATTTAAAAAATAATATTTAATATTTTTAATACAAAATTAGATTTTTTAATATAAAGAAAAGAATTTTTTTTAGATATATAAATAAAATAATAATTTTGACTTACTTAAAAATGTGTAGATGAATAGTTTTCATAACTTTTAGTTTTTCATTTTTTACTCCTTCGTTAAAAAATTTGCTTTCTCTTGCTTAATTTGTCCAGTCAATCTTTCTTTTTTTCCCAATCTCTTCATATTTCAGAAAATCCTACATATTTTTTATATTTCTCCTTGATATTCTTACTCATTTCTTTCTCCAAGATTTCACTAGTTCAAGTGGTCAACACTATTTTTAAGCTTCAAATAGTTCTATACTTCTATTGCTTTGTAAAATCTTATCTAAGATCAACAATATATCTTAAGAAAGATTAAATAAGTTGGCTATATTATCAATCGAACAAGAATTATTAGAGAAAATCGATTATAAAAAAAATTATTAACAACTTTATATCTCAAAAATTAAAAGAATAGACTCCAAATAAAAATATATCTTATAACTTTCGTTTAAAAATTTAAGCCTCGTATTAAACTTTAGCTTTAGGCCCTGTATGTGATTGGCTGCCCCCGAATATTGCTTCCAACATTCACTCCCTAATAATATTGCTAGTGTAAAAACCCTTTTATAAAAAACTTAGTTTTATTCTGGTAAATATCCCCTACACTTAAATGTCAATTAGCTTCTAAATTTGACACCTACTTCCAAAATTTTACACAAAGCTTCATTTTGGCTAATATGGGAACCAGAAGCTGATACGACAGTGCACATTCAATTGGTTGAGAATTAAAAAGGACAACACACAGCTAAAAGATTCCAATTTGCAAATCTGAGAAAAACAAATTTATTATTTCGATAGAAACTTCCAACTAACCTCCTTCTTTGCATTTAATAATCATATATGAAAGGGAAAGACTGACTCATCCATGACTGTTGTCTTCTGCTTGTTGCATAGAAGAAATAGTAGACAGCTATTACTAATTTGGTAGGGTCATTTATTAAGATACAATGAATCCCTAAGAATTGTTTGATTTTATTGGAAAAAAATAGATATCACTACCATATTAAAATAAAGACCCAAATTGATGAGCTATAGAGTAATAATATTATATTCCTCGATTTTTTTTTTTGCGAGGACCATGGAGGAATTGATGAGCTATAGAGGAATTTTTTTTTGTTCGAATATCTTTTAGTTGTACATAGTATCTCTTGATGATATCATAATTGAATTGTTACGGTGGAGCGGTAAGTACTCATTCATCCTTATCAGAGGTCTTCGATTCGAGTCTTGGGTATGGAGTCGTTATTATTAAGGAGAGCTTTACCCCTCAAAGTAGGACTTCTGGCGCGAATCCAAATTTAGTCGGACTCCAATACGGATAGCGTACGCCGGACTAGAAACAAAAGCAAAAAAACAACTAAAAGTGACGACTTCCTCAGTTTATCGTGTGATTAGTGCGCTACTCGTTCCTTTAAAACCAATAGAATATTAACCATTTAAGAGAGAGAGCCGAAATCAACGTAAATAAGTTTACCTTCGTTATTAAATTATATTGAACTGTGTAGTAGTCATTTTATATATTTTATTTTGTTAATTACTTTGTCTTCTATACGCTGCTTCACGAGCGGGTTTGAATTTTTATGAGTATTTGTAATTAATTACTAATTCTTTTGATAAACATTTATGACATTGATGTTTGCTAATTTGATATATATTGAACTGTGCAACCAATTAGTTAAAACTTAAAACTGGTACAAATTTTGGATACAATTTTATTTATATTTTATTGAAGAATATATTTTTATTTATTTAATTATTTTTTGCATACAACAGCTAAACTAACACCAGCAAATACGACAACAAAAAAAGATAATTTTTTTTTAAAAAAAAAAAGGCGAAGAAATAGTAAACATGCAATTAAGCAGCAGCACAGAACCTTAATTAGCTAGATCTACGGCTGATACCAAAACACAACTTTGATGTAGCCGTCGATAACTTGCCGGAAACTTCTTCATCAAAATGTGAACCTCTACCACAAAATCTCGGCCGTCTATAGAAGTTATTGGAAGGTGTTGCAGGAGCAGAAAGTGAAGAATGTGAAGAATAAGACGTCCACGATAACGACGACGACGAAGATGATGAAGAAGAAGGAGATGGAGGAAAATGGGATTTCTTTGGATTGATTAGTTTCTTGATTAATGCATGAAAAAGCTTGGATCTTGAATTTTTTCTAGTTGGTTTTTTGTTTGTATTGTTATTGGAATAGTAAGAAGGAGGAGGAGTTAAAGGAGGCAAATTATAAGAAGTTTGAGAAAGTGAATGTTTAGGAGTTCCAGGTTGAGACTCCCAAATGAAAGGAACAGAACTTGGAACATCACCATAGTAAACCCTAAAAGAAGGAATGGCATTAGCTAGTTTGGAGTTTTCTTTGGAAAGAAGCTTGTTGGTAAAGAACTTGGTGTCTTGATCTTGCTTAATTTGGAAAGATTTCTGGAGAAAGTCACTGCAACTACTGACCATTTTGGGAAGTTGCTGAGAGATAAGATTAGGGGACTTAGGAGCTAGCTTTTTAGCTTCAGTACTTAGTTTCTTGGGTTGGAGTAGGGTTCATATTATAGAAAGATGAAAATGCTTGTGTGGAAATATATACTTTATCACACCTCCTTTTTTACCTACACCCCCGGAAGGGCGTATAAAGGAGTTTTTCCAACTTTAAAGTGACAATCGAAACGGGATTATTTAATCAAATTCAGAGTCGCCACTTGGGATAATTTATAGTGTCCCAAGTCACCGGTTTAGAATCCCGAATCGAGGAAAAGAATGACTCTGCGTTACAGTCCACGAACACAGAAATGGGTAAGGAATTCTGTTAACCCGGGAGAAGGTGTTAGGCATTTCCGAGTTTCGTGGTTCTAGCACGGTCGCTCAACTGTTATATTTGGCTAATTTACTTGATTTTAACCCATGTTTTAGCCTATGGTGCAATTCTAACTTTATAACTGCTTTAATTATTTTTAAGAAAAATTACAACGTCGTTTAAAATACATCTCGAACCACGTCACATAAATGCACTCGCGGCTCTCGACATATTTTATCTAACGTTGTTGAGATTTAGATTTGGATCACATAAGTGCGCACCCGAGTTTAGAAAGATAAATTATTAAAATAACGCGCTTAAAGCAACTACACACTTTCAAGTTTGCGAGGACCATGAAAATTCAACTAAATGGCACGCCTCGACTTCTAAGGATTAAAATATTAATTAAGCGAGGGCCATGCATTTTAAGTTTTTGTTTCGGCACGGGACACCTCGAATTTCCATGCAGAATGTGTGCCAAGAAACAAATAACGAGCGCCACCAAGCAGAACAGAGTCGAGGAACTTAGTCAATGAAACTTGATACATGAACTAAACCACTGAAATATAAAATAGCTATAGCAAGAACTTACTTAACACTAAGCTGGCGCAAAAGAAGACCCATTAAACCTACTGAGAAATGAGTATAATAAGCTTATTGAACCTTATATTGACAAGAGTGAGCCATATGATGCTCTAAGCAATATTCACAATTTAACAAAAAACATCAAGCCAAGGGGGACGGAGAAACAAAAGACCAATACCATGCTTATCGCCTAAATAGTATGATCGCTCAAATTGAGTTCCACATATCAAGTGAATCCAACTAACTGCCAGTATTAGACAGACGAGCTCATGTTAACACCCCAAAAAATTCGAAATTCCCACTAATACCCTTTAAACAAAGACCTTTTCCCTAGAGTAAACTGAAATCTTTCCACGAAATAAGTTAATCACTGCTGAATACCAACAGGGATGCCCCAAACTCTTACCTCTTTAAATTTGCCATGAAGTAAAGCACACACAAATGGATATTAGCCCCTTGTTGTTTGTAAATGAAACTAAACATGTACAAAACTACAGTTTATAATCAGCACAAAGAGGACTTCCAGCAAAACTGATTACTGTTAAGATGTTTGAACAAATCAATTTGAAGTCAGCCTTAGCACAACCATTGACTAGTTGTGTGCTGAATCCTCAAACAGAACACTACGGCTAACAGTGAAAGCCATTCTAGGTCGACTACACATTTCCAGTACAGCAGTCTACTGAACTATTAACTAACCCCCTGAACTTTACGGCTCAAGCAAGGTGCAGCAGAAGGAGCATACAAGGACTAGATGAACCATTAAGTCAATAACTCCATCACAGTTCGTACACAATAAATAGGGAGTAAGGTAAACATCAGGGAATACCAAAGTCTAGACTTAATGTTCTCCTAATTTCAAATGTTAAACATAAACAAGAATCAGGTCAAACCTTCATGTTCTAGTATCACAACAGAAGTAGGAAAATGATATGACTCGAGAATATACGGACATTCCTTCGACATGAGAGCAGTCCATGAACATATAGGTCACATGAGATCCTAGCTATAAGTTTGTAATGTCCAATATGGTATGATCTGAACACAACACCAGGAATAGAATACTAAATGACGACTTTGCTCTAGACCAACAAATCAGAATTACAGCACATTGTTAACATGAGCATGGACTATATTCCAACAGTTGAAACCTTGAACTTTCATGAATAATCACAAGACTTCCCTTTTGTTTTCTTAGAAGAAAAACAATCTGAACTTGGTTACATTTTCAGAAATTTAAGGTCAACTCAGTTTCACACAACTGTACCTCGAACTTCAATTTCAACTCCAAACAATGGCAACAAACAGACTCGAACCAAGTTTTCAGCTACAATACATCAGAGAAAATCGACATAACTCAACAGACTTTACCAAAATCTCAGCTAGTCACAAATCAATAAGAAATTAGATTCGAACTCACTGATTCAATCCCACAAAAGCTCAAAATGACAACAACAAAGGAGCAAACTCAGAAATTCCATAGCAAACTCGTATCACGACATGAACAAAAAACTAACACCAGAACAATTTGTATTCAACCCACTTTAATACTTTATTTGGTTATGGTTCTTACAATACTTTGATAACACCCGAAAGGAAAACAACAGAAGGATTAAAGATGAACCTGAATCGGCAAACACTTTTGATTAACTTTAATTGAACGCTAATACAAGTGAATCTAGCAGCGGAGATCAAAACAAACAGCAACAATATTGAGCAGAAATCATGAAGCCCAGACAGAAATTTGGAACCAGCACCAGGGTTCAACACTCGACACAAATACCAGCTTAACTTCAATCGAGCCCCATTTTATAACAAGGAATCATGAAAAAAAATTCTGAGAAATCTTTTTTTTTTTTTGTGATTTTTCTCGAAATGAAAGTAAAACTCAAAAATCGAAACTCAGACTATACCCCTTGCCTTTTTGTTTATTTTTCTCAAAATGCCAACGAAAATTCAAGAATAGAAAACTGAAGAAGAACTTTCAGAACCCTAGCCCCCCTTTTTACAAAAAATCCCCCTACAAGAAAAGGGTATTACCTTATATAGACTTCCCCCAAAGATCTCGAAACTTCTCCTCCCCTTTTCCAGGAATCTTCCCCGCCAAGAAATCCTCTCCCCAAACTGATTTTTATCCCTTTTTTGATGCAAATGGGACAAATGGAGGGAATAGATCAACTTGAATCTGATCTAACGCTCCCCATTTTTTCTCATTTTCATCTGAAGTGTGAAAAATCCGCAATAAATCAAAAAGAGCATATGAGGGAGAGGGAATCTGTCAGAAACGGTTGTAATATGGTAGGAGGAGAGGGGGAAATGCAAGGTATGAGATTGGTGTTCACTCGCCATAGATTTTTAGTGATTTAGGGTCTAATTTGGGTGAGGAAGGTGAGTGAACAGTAGCTACGCCAATTTGGATTTGGAGATTAAGCTTCTAGGTCTCTTTTGTTTGTTAAAGTTTTGGGAACAGGTTGGTTTTAAGGAAAACGGGCGGGTGTGGGTTGGGGCGTGGTTTCGGTCTAAGTGAAGAAGCTGGGATAGCAAATTTTTAAAGAAGAAGAAGGGTTTGGGCTCAGCAAATCTGAGGCCCAAATCACCTCTAAGTCCAAAATTTCCCTTTTTCTTTCGCTTTTCTAATTATTTCAAAATTCCTTTTTTTAAAAAAAATAAAATAAAATAAAACCTAAACTAAATCTTTACCCCAAATTATACTAAATTAAGTTAATTACTCTAAGTAATAATTACCACAATTAATAAAAAACTAAATTAAAAGAAAAACTACAAAATTCGAAACTCAAAACTAAAAAAAACATGCGAAATGAGTTATTTTTGTGATTTTTCCATTTTTTATGAAACGAACTATTTACCAATTAATCTAAAAATAAAAATTCAATCCTAAATGCAAATACAATATATTTTTTGTAGTTTCATGAATTAAACAAAATTAAACATGCGCAGACAAATGCAAATAGTTAACAAAAAATGCTACAAAAATCTACGAAATTGCAAATAATGGAAAAGATTATTTGTTTTGAATTTGTGGATTCATATTGGGCAAAAATCACGTGCTCACAGCTGCTCCTCTTTGCTCGGAAACACAAAGAGTTTTCGTGCAAAGATAAAGTGAGCGGATACGAGCGATTTTTGCCCGTTTGAATACTCCGTGGGAAGTATTGTTTGAAAGATTTGATCGTACCCTGCTTCCGAGGTTGCCTACATATCCTTGGCTATAAAGGAATAAGGTCAGTATAGTTCGGAAAGTTATGGTAGCTGGGACTATCATGAAGCTGTGATTTCACTGTCGCTGCTGCTGCTGCTACTGCTTACTAAACCCCTTATTACACCATGACAAAACAAAAGAAGCTAGACTAAACTATGATCTATGCATTACAAAAGTCATATCTATGTCCTCAAACTCGATCTTGTAATTCATGCTGCTTTGTTGACTTGCATTTTCTAGATGAAATCCCTTTATTACCGACTTGAATTGTGATCTGAGACACTTTCCCTTCTCTTCAGGTGGACGCCTGATTGCTGAACTCGAATTATAATCTGAGATGCTTTCCTTATCTCCAGGTGGATGCCTGATTGCCAAAACTTGAACTGTATTCCTGTGCTCTCCAGGTGGGCGCCTGACTGCTGAACTTGAATTGTATTCCCGTGCTCTCCAGGTGGGCGCCTGACTGTTGAACTTGAATTGTATTCCTGTGCACTTTAGGTGGGCGCCTGATTGTTGAACTTGAACTGTATTCCCCTGCTCTTCTCTAGGTGGGCGCCTGATTGCTGAACTTGAATTGTATTTCCGTGCTCTCCAGGTGGGCGCCTGATTGCTGAACTTGAATATGCTTCTCCCTGTTCTCCAAGTAGGCGCCTGATTTCAACAAAAATAGACAAACAAAGAAAATTTCTGCCCCAGTTTGGTAGTTGGGCACATCTGTGAGTGTTAAACTGAATCATGTTACCAAATATTACTAAGAATTTGAAAGCTAGATCTCGTTATCCAGGAGGGTCCTGATAACTCCTAGTTAAATGACAATTTTAAATCTGAATTATATCTTCTTGACTTCCGCTAAATCTT